CGAGAAGCGGTCTGGACGAGAGAGGGACTCAGGAAGTGATGGAAATCATGCGCCAGGAGAGAGTCAAGTGAGTGACTGACCTTATGGATAAGGAATAAATTCTAACACCTCGTTATACAGCTTCGATCAAGCTAGGTTGATTCGACACAACAGAATTCTTGCTAACAACGGAATCGATTCCTCAGGTGAAAGATCTACGGCTTGTTACTCTTCACTGCACTCATTTTCCGCAATAGGAATGCCGCTGGATTCAAAGGCTATAACTCATCTGTAGGGAGCACAAGCACATCTCGCGGCACATACTGGTTCTGAGCTGACATAACTTCGAATGTTCTTCATATATTTCTTGCCTACGGATTGCCATCTGCTTATCTTGTATATCATGCTGTAATCTGTAATTTAATCAAGTTGATTCTTTCCTCGGTGAACTTTTCTTTCATTCCACAAGTCTCTGAACCTTCATGACTTTTTCTAGTGTAAAGTATATCCAATTCCATGGCCACTCGGAGAACACGGGCGGGGACCGTTCTTCTCAGTCAGCCCATGATTTCCGTATAACCATGTCTAGCTTCGTCGAGGTCCTGGCTGACCCTTTGCCTCAAGTTGAGGGTGTTCTCGACTGGACCCGCATTCGTTTTTACATAATTGACTAGCTTAGACTAGGCATAACATCGTAGATTCCAGGCAGATTTCGACCTCACGGCGACCGTGGATTCTTACTCTATGGAGATGTTACACCTCAAGGCTCGCGCACGCAGGCACGAAACGCTAAAAGTTTGTGCCGAAGGCCCCTTTCTGTTTCCCATCTGTACAATCATCGTTTAGCGTACCACCCATTAATCTGAAGTTTCCGACAACCTGTCCGACGGAAACTTGGATCTACAACGTTACACAACTTCCCTGGCCGACCCGAGTGCCCAACTGGACATCCCCCAAATTTGGAAGATATTGGACAACTTTCCGTAAGTTCCAGCGGTCTAAGCGAGCTCGTCCGATCAACGGATTGAGCAGGAAAACTGTGTAGGAACTTCTATAAGTAGGAGGGAGTCCAGAACCCTCTCTACATGCATTCCAAGTATTGACCTTGGATATTGACATCTTTTTCAAACGACAATCTCTATTGGTTCTTCTCGGGTGAAGGCAGTTACTGACCTTTTCGAGCGATTCGCAACATGTTCATTCAATACACTGTAGAATTCAGAATTCAGGAGTCAGGTAAATGTTAGTCTTTTCCGATGTTCGTGGACATGCCACCTCCACTGTGCCAAGTGTTTACATACAGGGACTACGCCGTGCATCCTATCTGGTACATATTCAAAGGAGCTGCCAGGTTTTGTTTGAGGCCGTGTCACACCTCCGATGTGCACAATATTCAGCGGGGAGATGTCACGATATTCCTCTACAAAGTGTCTGCTCCTTCAAGTAATAGGACCCCAGATGTACCAAGGTGCATTAATTTGGAAGTATCCACGGTATATCTTGGTACATGATACATCTGAACAACGGAAATGACGACCAATCATTGAACTCCCTTTTCGAAAGATTTTGCAGGGTGCCTACACTACTGCACAATCTACGTCGGGACTAGTCTTGCTAGGTCTTTCTTTGTGCACTATTCTGGATGCGTTGGCTCAGATGATCCTTTTTGGCGAGTACAATCGGAACCGTTAAGACTATAGAAAAAGACCCCACCGGCTCAGTGTTTTATGTGGCTCCTTCGTGCTAGAAAAATCAATACTGGAGGGAAATGAACCCGATTTTCAATGGCATCTGAGATACTACGCTACAAATTTGGGTGCTTGCTTGTGTTTCTCTCCACTCCGGGTTCTCAAACGTCAATGTCTTCTATGCAAATGCCCGCGTTCAGAAGAGCCGCTAAGTATTGAGTGCAGCCTAGTTTACATAGAAGGACCCCATTTGTACAACAGTAACGTACGGAAGCAAAATACTATGCAATCGTTAGAGTAAAAGCTGAAAAAACACCGCAAACCTCCACTCGAAGAAGAATGGCAAAGAGAGGTCAACAGACCAGAAACAATATAGTGAAACCTAAGTAAAACGGACACGAGAAACGGTGTTCATGGGGAGGCTGGAAAAAAAACATATAAAAGGAAAGAGGTGACAAGAAACATAAGATACTCAGACAGAGATGAATGGGGATCGAAAGCGATATTATGAGGGAAGAGGAGACTTCTCTGCAGAAAGAATTTTCCTAAAGAAAGATGCATGGAAAAGAAAAGGCGATGCTGATTAGTGAGAGTAAGGCGTTCAAGTTAGAAATGCGTTCAAAACAACAATGACGGTTCCATGCATTTCCGGTCAGAAGAGGCTAGAATACGAACCACCCAATTTTCACTTCAACAGCAGTTCATCGTCAGACAATTCTTCTTCGTTGGCAAAGTCATCATTATTTGACCTACGAGCAGCTCTCGCCCTCGCACGGGAAAGAGCAGCCGCACCCGCTTCAGGTCCAACGAGATATCTGCCTCTGACACCAGCTCTGCTGGTCAGCGTTCTACTTAGAGCTTTTGCCTTGGAGGAGGCAATTCTAGCGCGAGCCGAGAGGACTTTGGAGGAACGAGCGTTGGAGGCAGCATGAGTATCGGTGGTGACAGTTGAAGAGCTCGAAGGAGATGACTGAGGGAGACTAGCGAAAACAATGGGCTCGAGGAAATTTATAGGGTCATCAATACTGGTTTCGAGTGAACGCAGTGGAGACTTGGCATTGATATCGGAGGGGGCAAGAAGATGCTCAGAAACCAGCGACATTTCGACATCTTCGTATTGAGGAGAAACTGTACAATCGAGGGCACGGGCGTCCATTGCTCCATTCACTGCGCCATTACCTACACTGTTTGCAGCTTTCTCCACAGCAGGTTCCACGTTCATTGGAACTGCAGGCGCTCGCACTACCGTCCCGCTGCACGTGCGTTTCATTATCCCCATTGCCTGGTTAGGAATGCTCGCCAGTGTGTTCCCAAGTGCGACAATACTCGCACTTCTCATTCTAGTACGAGGCACTAGGGACACCGTAGGAGCTCCTTCCGAAAGAAAGCTCGTAGCTTTGACACTGCCACTACGTGCACGTCGAGAAATCACCGGAATGGCTGTACTCAACCCACCGGGCTTTCTCTCTTCCACAATGGGGAGGGACGGCGCAAGTGCTGAGTTATATACAATTGTTCCGCTGCGTGTACGATGATTGGGAGCAGCTCCAAGGGAATCTTGCTTTTGGTCATCTATAGGGGCGAGACCGAGAGTCCCAAAACTTCCCGGAACTACTGTTCCACTTCTAGTCCTTTTAGGGGGTGCTGGTGGCACACTCGACGCAACATTGGTGGCGGCAGAGGTCCCTTGGATGATAGTTCCGCTCCTGGTTCGCCTGGCACCGGAAGCGACAGTATTCGCAATTACACCTTCGTCGTCATCAGGACATGAAGGATATGCGGTATTCAGAGAACGAGTGCGAAGAGGAAGACGAACACAATTTGACTCAGTGTCGTCGTTAGAAGGCGAGCTATGAACGTCCATAGCTGCGGTATCTGAAAATCACCATTAAGGACCAACTCCATCGAAACACAACAGATATACCTACTAAAAATCAAGTCATCGAACAGATCTTGCAACGCATGCTCGGAAATGCGCTCATCTTCATCCGTCACCATATCATCCCTGTTATCTGGATGACTATATGCGTCAGCCTCAGGCTGTTGTGGAACTGATTTCCAGTCGACCGTCTTCGGAGGAGAAATCAGCGAGTCACTAATCCACAGAGACCGCCGACGCATCTCCTCATCGCCAGAGTCATCCGAGGGTGTGATGTATCCACCACTCAATTGAGACCTATTCCTAGATGCAAGCTTCAGGGCTCTAAAAGACTTGCGAGGCTTGGATTCACGCATATATTCATCGGAATCAGATCCACAGGAATCGTTATCTGTTTCAGTTTCTTGTCCGTCTCGGTTCGACTGCAAAAGAGCAGATCCAGATAAGGCAGCTGGGTCCACTGTACCTCCAAATCGACGGTCAGCGGTGTTGAGAGAGCCAAGATTCTTGAAAGGAGTCGAGGTGCTCCGTACATCAGTAAAGAACGCGTCTTGATTAGCTAAAATGATATCATCTACTTGCATGTTGTTGTTGTGAGTTGAACCGTTATTATAGTCGTACAGAGAGAGTTGCGACGGCGGCCTATTGAAATCTAGCTGCGAGTGATTAGGCGAAGGTCTGATGAATTCGATGGGATCTACGTCAAAATGAGATTCAGGATAACCAGCAATAGGAGCTCGTAGGTCAACAGATGACATCGTGTAAGCTGGTACATAATGCTTCCAGTCAAATTTCCTTGGAGGTGTAGGAGCTGAAGGTCGACGAGCTCTGGTTGGAGATTCGGTCGGTGAGTTGGCCGTTGACTGTGAAACACGCATACGAGGTATGTTGGGACTGTAGGGCTTTTCAGTGTAAGTAGGTTCCTGTTTATGAGGGTCCGGACTAGAAGCAGAGCTATAATGGCTATCGGATGGATTTTCGTTGTTTCTACCAGAACCAGCGCGTTTCTTCGCGACACGTTTAGCTAGTTTGCCGTATTTCTTGAGCTTCTGAGGGTGGTTTCCTTTCGGAAACGGGCTATACAGTACAGATGCATTTTCTTTCAAGTTTGTAGAGCTGGTTCTCCGGTGAGAACGTTGCGAAGTAACTTTGGGAATTGGGGAAAACTTGGATGGAGAAAGATAGGGACCAACAGACGATGGCAGCTTGTAGACTTGAGTTTCAGAAAGAGCAGAAGGATGAGGAGTTTCGTATCTAGTATCTAAAGGTTTTCGCATCTTGGGCTTTTTGATAGGAGAATCTTTGGGAGCATCCAAGGAAATATTGCGCTTCAACTTTTGGCGGGTGTTCATGGTCGTTATAAGGAGGGGGAATAAACGTATTACATACTGTGAATTACATCATATATGCAAAATTTGTATATATTGATTAAGCTTCTCCACCTTTAAAATCAGCCGACCTTAGCTCAGTTGGAAGAGCACAAGACTGTAATGGTTAGCTTATCTTGGGGTCGCCTGTTCGAACCAGGCAGGTCGGATGGTTTTTTAACCCAAATTTTTTTTTGCTTAGCATATTTTTTTTGGTCCAATGAAGCGTACATTGACTGGCCTAAAATGATGCCTCTCTACCTACCCTAACTTTTCGTTGTACAATATACGTGTGCCATGAAAAGAGGTTTGCATATTCTCCTTGAAATGTTTCATTTGTCTGCTGGGTGATTCAATGTTGGCTGTTGGCATGAGATACAGCTACAAAAGTTGTTATCAATGTCAGTTACAACATGCTTTGATGTTTTCCAAAATCCCTTGTTGAATTTGAAATACCTTCAAACGCTCAGCCAGCAGCTTCTGGCTTTGACAATGTTCCCAGCGGCTTTAATCAGTAGCTAAACGCCGCCCTGATGCCGTCCTAGGCCGATCACCTTCTGAGGAATTTTAGGTGAGAAGCCAGAACAAGGCATATTTTGGTTTTTTCTTTACAAAACTTCACGAATTTCGAGACAACATCATGACCTGAATATGGAAGTACCATGAAGAGACGTAATAACAAGCAATAGATTTGCACACATGAAAATTAGATGGTACTGTGACTGTACTTCCTCCTGGTGGTGCCGAATATTGACTCCACTGCGCGTAATGGACGGCGGAGCATCCAACGCTCATGTCCCCACAGATAATCATAAGCGTCTACATGTTCAAGAACTGAACAGATTTAACACATTGACCTAGCAGCTCTTATGTACATATCCAGTGGCCATATGCGTCCGAGTCTATATGCTTTCCATGACATATTCCAAGGAGTTACAATTTATGATGGCCGCCTACCAGCTGCTACACAGAACTGGAATCTGTAAGGTTATCCCGTCCCGCCTTGAACGCATCTTTGAAAGGAAGAATTCACATGAAATACGGATCAAACAGATTCATATACTGTAAGGAGATCTGGAGTGAAAGAGTTGATACAATTTCAATGCTTGCCTGTCTCTTGAAAAGTCTGATTGAATTCGGTACCTGTAAGTTGAAGTACTTGGGAAAACATATCCTGCAACATATTACGATTACCGGGTCAGAGAACACTTTAGTAGATGAATTTGAAGAAATCCAAACTCGGCAAAGGACTTTAAACAAAGTCACCAAACTGGCTGGGCTTGAGCATAAAGGATGGCGCTCAGATTGTCCTCCATACCTCGTCCTTCCTGCCAGCTTGAAGTTCTAAACATGCGGAGTTTCACTTACAAAATTTCCGGCCTCGTATGATGGTTGATCTGCTTACACTTTGTGAATACTATCAATCTCAGGACCTGGGAAGGCAAAAAGGGTTCTTTTCCATCTGGTTACTTAGTCTCAGCCTAACGATATTCTCGGACATAGATGAAAGGCTGCTTTACCTAGCATGCACCCCGCCGGCAATATGTAGGACCCACATTGCTTCATTCCATTTGGCCCGTGCTTAAGAAATCTAAGAAAACTGGATACAGGGCGCTGCAATACGGAAGTCAGATTCCATGGGGATCTTGAATTACTCATGTTACCCAGGGTCTAAGGCAGCCATTTACTTGCAAGTTTCACAAGCACTGAGGGCCATATTCAAGTCCAACATCTATACATACAGCCTCGGAAAAGGTTCAAGATGTTTTCGGGTTTGTACTCGGGGTCACCGCGCCAATATCGTAGACCTGAGTCCGACAAGAGCAACGCCAGGTAGTTAAGTTTCTCGTAATTCTTGAGAAGAAAGGCTCGTCAGCATACCATTTTCTCTTGACTGACTTACCTTAGGAAAGTAGTGAACGGGCGGCGCGTGTCAATATATTCACACGTGACAAAGCAGTAATTATTGTTGAAGCATCAATATCAATGTCGTCCACGTCAGTTGTTCAATTCTTTTTTCTTCAGTCCTTCATATGCTATAGACGATGGTGGTGAATAAGAAACAGAATCTTCCTGTGGCTCCAACCATGGGTTCCAGGACTAATTCGACTCAGCCACTCCCTCGCACGAAAGCCACATCTAATTCCAATGCACCTTCGACGGCTGGTCCATCTCAGAAAAGACCAAAGCCGAAAAAACCAACGAAATCAGTGGGTTCTACAAAAAAGTTCTCCTCAAAGATGGACAGGCTTACAGTCCTCATGCTTGTAATATTATCAACCTATGCTTTATGGATATGCCCTTCGGATACTCACCTTTCAAGCCCAGTCTGTCGCTCTCTTTCCCAGTATCGGACACATGTGTTGGATCCATATGTGCTTTCACCAGTACAACGGATCCTCTCACATCCATACGTCGCCCCAGCTATTGCCAAATTCCACGCCGTAGAACGCGTCATGACACCCATCGTCGTTCGTACTCACACCGCTGCTAAGCCGTATATCACCAAAGCCGCCAAGCTTACACGGACAACAGCAATGACTGCCTATGCTAAGCTTGTAACTCCGATGAACAACAAGTATCTTCAGCCTTTGTACCAGAAATACGTGGATCCTCTCTACCTGCAATACGTTTATCCTCGTGTGCATCTCCTGCGTTCCCGCGTCTTAGACCCTTATCTCCGTCCGTTGTTCTTGAAAGCACATCTCTATGTGAACAAGGCTTTCTGGGCTTGTCATCGATTATACCAAGTTGTTGCACCTCGCATACACATTGCCTATGTTCGTGCGCGACCTTTCATCGATCGGGCCTGGAGAGCTGCAAAACCTCATGTCATGAAGGCGGCAGAATTGGGCTTGAGGCTTTTCAATTTGATTTTGGAAAGAAGTGTGGAGGCTAGGAGGCAGTTTGTGGATCCGCATGTTATCAGGATCTGGGAGAAAGTAGTTGAACTGAGTGGTTCTAGTAGAACTACAGCCAGCTCTACCCCTTTTCCCGGTACTTCTTTTCTTGCTTCTTCCTCTGTCTCTGAGGCGAAAGCAGCCTCCCCCGAAGTTGAATCAGAGACTGTTCAAACCGATGTTTCTTCTATCCCTCCTGTCACCAAATCCGCTACGTTGTCGGTCATTTCAGAGCCTCCTGAGACCGCTTCAGCTCCAGACGACTCATCACTTCCTGTGGAGACTATGGCTTTCACATTGACTCTTTCATCGGATTCAGAGCTGGAGACAAGTACGATTGACGGTGTATTATCAACCTCATCAACCTCATCTTTAGCACCATCGGTGTCCGAAGCTTTTGGTTCTTTTGAATCTATTCTTGATTCTATTTCGACACCAAGCGTCGCGCAGCCAATCGAAACTCCCCTGCCTGAGGCGACGGAAGTTGAACCTCAGGTTGAATTGCATAACGAACGCGAGACCGAATTCGAAGTTCCATTCGAGGCTGAAGAAGCTAATATCCCCCCGTCCGAGGATGACCTCGATAACTTCTTTGCTGACTTAGGCATTGTAGAGGTGGAAGAGAGCGACGTCACAGAACCATCGATTGCTATTGTTGAGGAAGAACAGCAGGGTGCTACTCTTACCCCCGAAGAAGTAGCAGAGGCACGCCGAGTCGCGACTGCTAAGAAACGCGCCGAGCTCGAAGCACGGATGGAGAAATGGCACCTTGATCTCGATGTATCGGTTAAACGTGGAACAAAGGCGTTCAGAAAAGAATTGGTTCGGATTCGAAAGGGCGCGGTGAGATCACTATTTCCGGATCCTGAGAAGGACAACAGTGATTTGGAGGAGGCTCTAACTCACATTCGCGGCGAAGATGTCGCCGGGATTTTAGGACGTTTCGAAAAAGAAAGCGAAAAATTATTGAAAGGTCTGGAAAGTTATTTGAAGAAGGAAGAGAAGCTAGTTGTTGGTGGGTTCACCTCTTTGTCCATTGATTGTTCAAGTCCTGACTGTCATGGCTGTGTACAGATTCCTCTAGTGCCAATTTCGATGATCGCATGAAACGTTGGTACAATGTAGTCCAGCGAGTTGAAGAGAGATTCATCGAACGTATCAATGGACTGCATGAGAAGATTCATTGGTGGTACTTGGAAGTCCGTGAACTCGAAGTGCAGGAGGTAAGCGCTGGTGTCTAAATATGTAATTTTCCTGGCTCATCCCTCAGTAGTATCATCGCGCTACCAAAGAAGTAAAAACTTTTGCACAAAAGGCTCAAGGTGATATGGGGATGCCCATGGCATGGCTTGACGATGTCTCATATCAGGACTGGCAGAGATATCACGACTTGATCCGAGGTGGGAAATCTCCAGAGCGGTCCTATTCAATTTTCTAACTCATTGTCTCCAGCACACGAGCGCTTCGACGAACAAATTCGTATGATACAGAATGGTACTCACCCGTCTCCACCAATAGATCCTCTAGTTCCTGCTCTTGATAAGCTTCAATTGGAGCTGGAGGACCTGAAGAATGGCTTCGATGCACGAGTGAGGACACTGAATACTCAGATACACCTCATGTTGTCTCCCCCTGAAAAGGAGGAGCAGAAAGATGTTTCCTTTGAAGAGCCGGAAGAGGAGCAAGTCAGTATATTACCCATACACCCAGTGCCGACGTCGACGTCGACGATCGCGGAAGAGCAGGAGTTTGACCCGGTGAACATCATCCTGGGCAAAAGTAAGGAACAGGTTGAAGAAGCTTTGTCTATAGCTCAGGAGTCTGTACACGAAGAGCTATAAATCTTCCAGAGCAAATAGCTATGTGCTAGTACTTCAGGTGAAGGATACCTTATTTGTCCCGTGCTGCAGATGGCGCTGTATCCTGTCAATATCATACGCACTATCCCTTATTTATTGATATCAACTAGTATTAAAGGTTCCAGTGCGCTTCGCGCTTAGCTGCCCGGCTTTCGACAGACCGTTAGGTCACCAATCTGTCTAACGTCCTAGTCAAACTGCGCAATCCAGAATTATCAAAGGATAGAAGAGGAGGGGTGGAAAATTTTCCAATGCAGGTCTTCACTGTGCACCGAATTATGGAATAGAACTTGGAGTGAAATGAGTGTTAGAGAAGCAACGTGTCTAGGTTGGCAAAAACTTTCGCGCCAGTGTAGAGGCAGGCGGCTTAGCTATGGATACAGTATTCCATTCTCCATTCCAGTCATCCAG